TTTTAAAAATTTTATTTCTATATGTAGTCATGCGCTGCATAAGGATCTTTGGATCAACAATGGATGGCATATTTAATGATGGTCCCATAAGTTTCTGTAAGTACACTCTGATTTTCGTCCAACTGCAAAATCACCTAATGATGCATTTCTCAGGCTGTCTCCCTGCCATTAAGCCACACATGACTATATTTTGGATGCTATTGTAAATGTATTTGTTTTCTTAACTGCATTTTCAAATATTTCATTTCAAGTGTATATACATAGAATTGGTTTTGTATACAGTAATTCTCCCTTATTCAAAGTTTGACTTTGTTCAGTTTCAGTTACCTGTAGTCAACCATGGTCTGAAAATAGTAAATGGAAAATTCCAGAAAGAAGTAACATATAAATTTTAAGTTATGTGCCATTCAGCTTAGTGTGATGAAATCTCCAGCCATTCCACTTGATCCTGCCAGGGCGGTTAATCATCCCTTTGTCCACATCCACACGGTATTCACTACCCACCTTTTAGTCACTTAGCAGCTGTCTCCATTCTCAGATTGACTGTTGCATTATGGCAGTGACTGTGCTCAAGGAACCCTAATATTACTTAATAACAGTCTCAAAGTATAAGAGCAGTAATGCTGGTAATTTGAATATGTCAAAGAGAAGCAGTAAAATACTTTGTTTAAGTGAAAAGGTGAAAGTTTCACCTAATAAGGAAAGAAATAAAACTATATGCTGAGGTTGTTAAGATCTACAGTACGATAAGATATTTTGACAGAGAGAGCACATCACATTGCTTTTATTATATTATATTGTTAAATTTGTTCTATTTTATTATTAGTTATTATTGTTAATCTCTTATTGTGCCTAATTTATAAATTAAACCTCATCATAGGTATGCATGTATAGAAAAAATATGGTATATATAGCATTTGGTACTATCATCAGTTTACTGGGATGTACTTGGAATGTATCCCCAAGGGATAAGTGGGGGTGGGGGGGCTACTGTATTAATTTTGTACCTCCAAACTTGGTTAAATTGATATATTAGTTCTGATAGATTTTTAGTGGATTCCTTAGGATTTTCTATATTCAATATCATATCATCTGTAAATTGAGATAGTTTTTCTTCCTGTCTGATGTGGATGTCTTTTATTTTTTCCTATCCCAGTTGCCTTGGGTAGTATATTTGATACACCATTCATTAAAACTAGGAAGAATGTTCGTTCATTCTTGCTTTGGTTCTGCCTTCTGGTTGGGGAAAGAATCCTGTCTATCACCATTACATATGCTGTTAGCTGTGCATTTTTCATAAATGACCTTTGTCAGTTTGAGGAAGTTCCCTTCTGTTCATA